GACACATACACTGACCATTTTATAAAGGTAAACGTAGCACATAAGTGACTTTGTAGGTGTACACTTACTGACTATCACTCCTTCTCTATAGCCCATCCACAGCAGTGACACTGACTGGGTGTAAGCCTGTTTTTGGTGTATCAGACATAATACTGTTTTATCTTTTTTTTAACCTTCAGTTTAACTAGAAAGGTGGACAGTAAGCTATGTCTGAATCAATTATACCAGATTCACACAGGTATCACTCTGTTAACGTGCAACTGATTTGTGATGCCCAGTGCAACATCGACATGATTCCTTCATTCTCCTGCATAGCTCTGAGGGTCAGATGTTGGCTAGTGGGGCTGTTGCAGATGGATGGTTGTATGTATATACTCAAAACATGTATTAAAGTAGATAAAGTGTCCTCTTAACACAATTTGAATATTTAAATGAGTGATCATGCAGTTCTTCTTAATGACCCCCTTAGCAACTCCTCAAACGGCACAAGAAATCCGACAAAGTGAAGCACATTCACGGACCCGCAGTGCGATAGAGTGCACTAATGGTGTCCTAAAGGGTTACTGGATGTGCCTCGACACAGCCGGAGGCACATTACTTTATCATCCTACAAAGGTCTGCCATATAATTCTAGTTTGTTGCATTTTACATAATCTAGCCATGAAGCCGGTGTTCCCCTACCCAAGACCGTGCTACCCCATGAACGTTTATGACCACTAGTCTTAAACGAAACATTCATCCCTTTTTCTGTTCATACAAGTTTTATTTTCTATTTTTCAGTTTTTGCAATGAGACTGATATTCGCTGTAAAACTCGAACTAATGTCCCTTAGAGTAGCTCCAGTGTCCTCCATCACTCTATGAATCTTGGTGAAAGATAAAATTTCACTTGAATGATGTGCTTGCAGTGCATGATTTACAGGGTACAATGTGGTTTTCTTTAGATTAAAACCATTAAACAGTAGAACCAGTGTTTTTAACCAGAGTTTTTAACCAGAGTCGCCCGCATTACCCCTTCCTGTGTTTGTTGGGGTAACGCTAGGCTGGGCATTTCTTGCTGCCTTTGAAGTGCCTGTTTTAAATAAAAGATCATTCACCCATATACGCTATGTTTTCTATATATATATATATATATATATATATATATATATATATTGGCTTCTTCTGCATCAATTCTACAATATTTCTGTAATGAAGAAATGTATCGTGGATTTGGATGGATGGTTTACTAATGAGAACTAGGTCTAAAGTATGGGAACAAAGCAAAATGATATAAAAATAGAAATATAGACAAATAATATTATTTCAAAGCTTTGCCCCTTGAGGGCCAAGCTATCCAATCTAATCAGTCCCTGTTTGGAAGCAACTAACATTTATTGCAAGAGTAACTGAACAACATGAGACATATGCTTGGTCAAATTTGAAACTGCTAATAACATGCTATACGTTGCTTAAAATACCTCCATTGCTCAGCTTCCCAGGAGCTGAACACTATAAGGAGGCTAACGGCATGCTCATGACAAGCTTATCAGGAAAAATCTGTTTTTATTACTGAAAATGCCACCAAATATCAGAAGTTCTCATAATTCGGAACTGGGTAGTGAATAGGGTGGTGAAGCAAACAAAGGATCACCATATAAAAGCAAAATATGAGAGATGATGCTTAAAGAAGACAGAGAAATTTGATAGAAAGACACACTTGACATATCACATCACTTCAGCTACCAATGCCTCATAAAACCAAAGTAGGAATAGGGTAAGCAGCACGTGTGCCTGTCAGATTCTGGTGCAAACATAAATACGCATCCACATAAGACTTCCAGAAAGTTACCAAAAACCTGGGAAATTGTAAGAGTTGACTATTATTGGGTACTGGTCCCGAGTCTATCATTCAGCTATAACCATGAACCAGCAGCATTACTGTAAAAATGATAGATGATCCTTTGTGTAATAGGGATATAACATGTTGTGTAAGGACTTTATATATGAGTAAGTGAATACAATACAATAACTACAATTACAATTTTGTTCTTCATGCTGCAGTAACAGATCTGTAACAGCAGAGGGAATCCACTAACATAAATTATCAGATTTACTGGGACTTTAAAAAGTTTTATCTAAGGCTCTGAAGCACAGAACATACCTTTTATACATCCTAATACTCACAAAACTGACCTGTAAGTCAACCTTCATAACTTCTATATCATAAATAAACAGTTGTACCTCATAAAAAAAGAAAATATCAATTATTCTACTTATCTGTTCAAGATCTGTTCAACAAGGATTATGCTTATTTTTGGACTAAATTGCTGAGCCAATGGTAAATCACCATTAGAAATGCTTTTTAGTCTAGATTTAAGTCTAGTCTTTAGTCTAGGCTTAATCTGGTTCTGGGAAACTGTCCCTACATTTTCTTTTTGTCTGAATGCAAGAAAAAAACAGTTTGGTTTACCATAACCTGCTACTTTTATTTAAAGTGTATTTAAGTGACCAAATCCTACATTATTCTTGTATTTCATTTGTTTCCCAGAGATCTACTTAATATTTATGATTTGTGTAGTTTTACATACCAAAACTCATAACTCATTCTTAAAGGGTCCATATTGTAATTTTTTTCTTTTATTTTTTTTTCTCTGGTGTCCACTTGTAGCATTTGTGTGATTTTATGTAGCTATTTTTTTCCATTACCATTTTCCAACCTTTAGAATTAAGCAGTTTATTTTTGTTACTGTACCCTCAAGACTGACAAAATCAGAAAATGAAATGAAATGACCTAAAATGCTCTTTAGAACTATAGCTAAACTACTATAGGCTGAACTGGTGGATAGATGTAAATGAGTTGGTTCTGGTGACATCACAGGAACAGTGAATTCCAAACAGGCTGTTTTCGCAGGATAGTTTCCATGTATGCACTGTATGGACTGGGTAGTGAATGGTACGTGTTGAAACATTAATATACACAAATGATTGCATATTACTTCAAACTCCTTTATTTAAGGTAAAGTAAAATGTCAGGAGGACGCTCTCTGCTCTTTTATTTTTTGTTGAATAACAGTGGGTGATTCTCGACTTTAACAATGAGACATTCAGCATTTATGGTCCCCCAAAAAATAAACACACTGTTAATTTCACTGCTTGATGCCAAAAGTTGGGAAAATTGAACTCATAACAGAACGTTCTGCTCACTACTGCAGTCACCATAACATTGCTGCTCGTGGTGGCATCATTTTCTGTAGCAGCACTATTGAAAACAAGGGAATACATGGTTTGCCATAGTCTACTACCAGCATGTAAACATAGCATTAAAATTAAACAGGCTGTTTTTTGTTACTTTGCCTTTAAGACTGGTATATGCAAATGAGCTCTGTTCTGATTAGCTGCCCTTAAGAAGCAGTTGGGGTTTGAAACACTCTTTATAGCTTTAGTGTGAATGGGTGAAGCTAAACTGCTGTAGCCTGAATAGGTGGCTATAATGTGATGGTTTGCATAACATGAATTCACACAGGCTTTTTTTGCAGTTTATTTTACATATATGAACTGTATATGGACTGGAGTGTGACTAGTATGCTTTGAAACTTTAACAATGTTTGCATACTACATCAAACTCTTTTATTTGAAAAAGGTGAGGAAAATTCAGTTTTCCATGATATGGGCCCTTTAATGTGATCATGCAACAAGAAATAATGAACAAATACAAAATTAACTGATGTCGAACACTTCTATTCATTCAAAACTAATATGATAAAAAATGCATTTAATGTATTTAGTAAATACACAGCAACAATTTAACAGCTTATTTCTTATTACATGGCATACACATTGCGCACAGACACAGCAGACAACACCAGAAGAAAAATGTGAACATGATTCTGATAAGAGTGAGAGATGATGAACAGTCTTTTATCTTCTCCTTGCTTAGACAGTTGCCTTGAACTTCTTTCAGGTACAAAAAGGAGAGAGACTCATCTGTGCCTTGTCAGCAGATACAATGGACATTGATAAGGCTACATTATCAAACAGGCAATTAACACTTAAATAGATATAATAAAGCACCTGCAAACTTCCATAAAACAATACAATAAATTTTATTATAGCGCTACACTCTTAAAAAAGATGGTTCTTCAAGGGTTCTTTAGTAAAGAAAATGGTTCTATATAGAACCATAAACACTCAAAAAACCTTTGGCACCTTTAAAGGTTACTTTGCATCATACAAGAGTTCTTCAGATTGATGGAAAATGTGCATGAATGTGCTATGAATGGTTCTGTAAGAACGTTTTTGAAAAGGGCTTGATATCGTAACAGTATATAGAAGAATCCTTTTGGGTGCTGTATAGAACCCTTTTCAAAAAGGGTCTGTATAGGACCATCTACAGCACATTCTCCATCAATCTGAAGAATGCTTTCATGATGCAAAGAAACCTTTAAACATGCAAAGGGCTCTTTGAGTGTTCATGCTATTATAGAACAGTTTATTGTTACTAAAGAACCTTTAAAGAACTTTTTAAAGAGTGTACTCATGAGTATTTTCTGGCACATGTGGATATATTTTACTGTGTTTCTGCAGGCGACCTAGTAGTGTAGTTCAGCTAGCAGATATCTATGTTTGTAAATCATTCACAGAAACAAAACAATATAAAAAAAAAACTAAATCAGATGGACAAACAGATCCATGGAATAAGAACCAGACCTCTCTGTTTTTGCTGGAGTCACTTCAGTACTTCAGTTCTCTGAGAGAGGAATGTTGAATCAGACTGGCTACGTTTTCAAGTGAAAATGTTAGTTCTTCAACACTGGCATGGATAGATGGTCTGGGATCAGTTCATTAAGGCATGTTTGCGCTGTAGCTTACTTTGCTGAGACAACACCTCTCTAATCAAAAACATATGATCAGATAAGATAACCAGAGCAAACTTTGCTCATTAGCCATTAAGAAAGAAAATGAGCGAGAGAGAGAGAGATGTGTGTGTGTGTGTGTGTGTGTGTGTGTGTGTGTGGAGCGGGGTGAATGGATAGTTCTTGAAGGGAAGCAGTGAGGGAACATCTCCACCAGGCAGGTGAAGAAAGAAGCTGGACAAGTCAGAAAAGTTTGATCAATACTAAGATCACTGGACGCTGAAAGCAGGTTGACTGTAAAGATATGGTCATGCTGTGGGCAGTGTGTGTGTTCCTATGTGTGTGTGCACGCTCTCTAGCTGTGCCCGTGGCTGGACCTCGCATTTCAAGCCGGAGTAAAGTGCTACTGGTCTCTTTTGACGGGTTCAGGTGAGATATCGTCTAACGATTGCTGTATCATGCACTTTTTTACCAGCACAGTCCTTATTAACTTTACATTCATTAGGGGTGGGAATCTCTAGGAACCTTACAATTCGATTATGATTCAGAGGGCTGTGATGTGATTATAAAACGATTATCGATGCATCTTGATGCATCTTTTTTCTATGCAGGATTTCTATTTTCTCAGTGTGTGAGGACTTGGTACTTTGAAAGCAAAGTATTTGTAATGATCTATAATGAATTTATTTCCAATATGTTTTATTAATAAAACAAATGGAAGTGATGTGGCGAGTGAACTAGACGATTCTCATTCACTGCTCTTGTTTAGAGCACATGAGACGCTGCCACTCATCTGTGATAAAATGCGCTGTTACTGTGACATAAATTCTATGGCACTGGGTGTCCACGAATCACGTTACAGCTATTCTACCCGTTTTCTACAATGATTCCATAACTTCGGTTTTGGTCTCGTTGTAGAGAGTGTGGGGGGTGGCTGTGTCAGTAAAATATGTTCGAGATGGGACGCTGTATCTCGGCTCCAAAGTGTGCAACACAGCGTGAAAGCCCTGATTCTCAAAGACTGAGAATGGATGCAAATCCTTGGTAATAAACGTTGCGATAGAGTTAGTAATTCACTTCGTCCTTTCTGAGTTGGGTGGAAGCTTTGACATTGCTTGCTCGATGGTCCTCTGGTTGGCAGCAACTACAACCAGACAGAAAACCCGTGGACACGTAATATGGTTTCTAATGTTTGTCGTTTCCAAAATATTTTAGTTTAGTGTGACACAACTTGCAAATAATATGGCCCTTGTCTGGGTTCTAACACTGCTAATTCACCACGCTATAACCCTGAAGGTTGGTGTGCAGACTGCAGGTCACATAGCAACACATAGTCTCACCTAGCTAGTAGCCAATGAAAAGGCAAAGAGAGGGATTTAAGACAAACATTTGGTGACGAATGGACTTATTTGCATTTATAAGAACCGCAGTTGGTTTCCTAGTATGTTAAATCTGCAACGAGAAACTGTCAAACACTAAAAATTTGCGAAGATTAAGTCAGCTTCTCTTTCAAATTCTCCTGTTCCACCTTAAATAGTGCCGCATTTACGTGCTGGCGCCTCAGGCAGAATTTAAGGTGGAACGGGTAAATTCAAATGAGAAGCTGGAGAATAAAAAGCTGACTTCAGCCTCGTAAAACAGTGGAACGTTGAGAGACAATTTACAAGAAACTGTTCTACTTTTGAAGAAAAGTGTCCTGGCGGAGATGGGAAGAAAGTTTGATTTTTGTTGAAAGGACAAAATGTCTCTTCTTAACATTTGGGTTGTTGTCTCCTGACCTAACCTGGCTTACTGACTGTCCGGGCGCTGCACTTCTGCCCTTCCAAGTCCTGCCTTTTGCGTTCCGTCAACATTACTTTATGAATCTCATGTAAAATCATAGGTTTATTAAATCCATCTGCACATATGGACACCTTACTGTACATATTGCACTTTCTGTAGCCCCTATTGCGCATCTTGCACATCTGGACACTCCACACCTAGACACTTTATTTCAGTACCAATATATGCACATATTTATTCAGTATTGTCATTATATGCCGTTACCTGTGCCTCCTTGTACAGTCATTATTGCACTGCCTTTTTCATCTCAGGTAGATCTAATTCCAGATTGTTGTATATTTCTATTTGTATATGTACCTGTAGATAGGATTTTTTAATATTTATTCTCCCTTTTATATTTCATCCTTATTATTATTACTGTACTGTGGTGTGTGACTGCTACTGGCTGCTAAATTTCCTTTGGGATCAATAAAATATCTATCTATTTATCTATCTATCTATCTATCTATCTATCTATCTATCTATCTATCCATCCATCCATCCATCCATCTATTAATATATTTGTGAATCGATTCAGAATCATTCACGTCCGCATCGCGATGCATCTAAGAATGGACCCCCCCACCCCCACCCCTAATATTCATACTGATTTTTCAGGTGGGACTACGACAGGGATGTGGACACTCCCCATCTGGACGCTATGGCCCGAGATGGGGTGAAAGCCCCATATGTGACCCCTGCCTTCTTCACCATGACCAGTCCTACTCACTTTACCATTCTGACAGGTAAGAACACAACACCCACATAGCCGCCCCCCTCTGACCATCATCACATACAAAACCTACTTTTCCAGCTAATTCTCAGTACTAACATTCATCTCACCACCACCACAAAGTTTTGGCCATCAGATAACGAAGGCTAACGTTTATCACTTAGAACTGTCACATAACCTAATAAATTAGCTCAGGGTTCTACAGTAGGTGCTTGCATTTGCTCTTTCTGTTTTAAGAAATTTGCACAGAACTTTGATGACCTACCACTTTAATAGGCATAATTCATTGTGTGTGAATACAAATAGCTGATTATTTCATGCCACTGGAAGAATCAAGTGCTACTCTTTTGACAGGGCATGATGCAAAAATGAGCCTGTCACAGGAAGCCCAATTAACCAGCTAAAAAAGAAACTCACATAGCTGTCAAGTCACATGATTCATTTAAGAACTGCTAGTAAGAGACTTCCGTTTGTTGCTTTTGCTGCAGTCTCACAACATGCAGTGAAATCTCACAGGTTTTCAAACTCTCAAAAATGTTTGTTACACTGTGTGCTTTGCTACACAGTGTCCTCACCAGGACAGAAACCAAGCTCAAATGAACATTTTTAACACATTGTGCGGAGTTATTAGCTCATACCAATAGCACCAGCAAATGATGAAATATGATGAAATTAAGCATTATATTCAAACAGGCTATCAAAATAGTTGCTTACTAAAATCAACCAGCAGCTAAACGTCCCTCTTATACAACAGAAAAGTCTCCCAAATGGAGCCTTAAATGTGACTGCATTCAGAACTTAATAGTAAGGCACAATGAGTTTTGTAGATTTCGTAGGCATGCTGAAATAAATGCAGCCCTACAGGCTGTTTTTATATTAAAATGCAGTAGAAATCAGGCTACACACTCACACTTGACTCATTTCAGTGAGTTAGATCAATTGGCTCAGAGCACCAATAAGAGCAGAGTCATTTGGTTCCCAAATGCCTCTTCATTCATTATTTTAAATTCACAAATTAGCCAAGTTATTAGGTATTATTAAATATAAAGTCTTAATGTAGTCTTTCTAATTAAAATGTTATAACACTTATATATGTTAGAAAAGACTTTTTTAATCATTGTGGAACTATCAAGATGTTTCAGTAAGACATTGCTGTCCAGCAAACAGGCTTATAGCACAAACAAGTAAGAACTGCTGGAACAAAGACATACTTAAAAGGCAGAAACAGATTAAATTAAAAAAAAAAAATACACATAGTTCCTGATTTTATTCAGGTAATCCTTGGACAATGTAGGAAAATAAAAATAAAAAAAAACTGTCTGACTGATATAAATAAATGGAGAATAAATATTTTAAAAAAGATCATTTCATGTGTCTACTTGTATATTTCAAATCAGCAGCACTAGTGTTCCTTGGCAAAAACTACCATAGAACCCTTCAGAGCCAGTTCACAGGCTAAGAGCTGTCACCTCAGAACCCATTATCAAAAATACCACACTACCCCCACAGCAGGTTAATTTCTACAGAAACATTCATTCTTTGCTGTCATCATGCTCATGTATATGCCCACAATATTTTGTGAAAATGTATTAGTGCTAATCTCACATACAGCCTGTGCCAATGTCTCCAGTGATGGGGAGTCGACTCCCAAAGAGTTGCTTCTTTGACTCCAGTTCACCTGGGAGTCGAGGTCAACTCTTGGCTAACAACAATGAGAGTTCAAATGCTTGGAGTCGACTTCAATTCCACAGATTTCTGCGTACTTAAATCATTTAGATGTAAACAAAGTTATTCAGAGTTCTTTGGTATAAAATAGTCATTTGTAGAGAAACGTATCAATTTGGATTTGTTAACAATGGAGATAGGGACCAGGGGTCACAATCTCTACAACATAATTATAACTATTTTATTTTGTGTCCAAAATGACTAGCAAACCTAGCAAATGTATGTGTTTTTTAATGCAACATTTATTTTGGTAAAATAGTTATAAACCTAAAAAAACAGGTTTTCATAAATGACTATATTGCTTTATAATGCCCTGCATGTACATCTCCACCATGAATTCATTAAAAAAAGTTTTAGTCCAACACCACTGTAAAACAATGTCTCAGTTTGTTCATGTAGTAATGTTCTGTGAGGGAACTTTAAGAGGCATTAAAATCTTCAGAAGTCTGGTTCCTAGAACCATCACTATGAACAGCTCTGACTCTGTAAATTTCTCTAGAATAGATAATTTCAATTAAACCACTCTGAATAATGTTTACATCTTGACCATTTCATTATAGAGAAATTTTGAAAAAGTGGTGGAATTCTCCTTTAAAGACAGCTAACAAGAGTACTAAAGTGTAAAGTTCTTGTATGTTTTCTCTGCTGAAACGACATTAAGAGAGCTCATGCTTGTTTGAGGCATTTGCTATGTGCCAGTATTAACTGTTTAATAAACATAAAAAGTGAACTAATCTGGTCTATAGCAGGGTGGGATATTTCACTATTGCGCATGCATTGCTTCCTTTTGTAACAGAGTGCCTCAATTACACCGCTGTTTACTCTAGCAGTTTCTAAGTAGGTTAAAGCATGCAAATGCTGTGCCATTAGCATTCATCTTATCACTAACCTTGGCCTTCACTTGAACTCCTGCTTGCTCATCTGAATGATGATCTCCTGTTTACTGAGCTAAATCATATTCATTTGAACTTTCTCTTATCCTGCATTTTAACCTTCATCTAAAATCAAGTTGAATATAGATTAGACAAAACACAATTACCATCATAAAAGTCAAAGTTTAGTTGCTCACATGAGGAAGAAATAACTGCATAACCAATCAGGAGATAAATTTCATGAGTCATGAAACAGTGATTACCAACTGCTAATGTTAAACACAAATATATTACCAAAAGTTACAGAATGTACCACCGGAATGAGTTTGACAGTTATGTTCTTACAATGAGACCAATAATCTTAAAGGGCCCATTTCATTTAAAACCTTGCTTTTTAAATAAAATGTAATGTTATGTAAACATTGTTAAAGTTTCAGAAACATATAGTTCACTCCCCAGTCCATACAGTCTATATGCGGCTACTAAGCTGCATAAACAGGTCATTTTGAATTCACTGTTTTTGTAATGTCACAAAAACAAACACATTTACACATATCATCTCATTCAGCCTACAGCAGGTTAGCTCTACTCATTCATGGTGAAGTTGTAAGAATTGTTTCAGCCTGGACTGCTTTTAGAATCAGGCACAATATAGGAAACCAATCAGAACAGAGATCATTTACATACACTATATTGCCAAAAATATTCACTCACCCATCCAAATCATTAAATTCAGGTGTTCCAATCACTTCCATGGCCACAGGTGTATAAAACCAAGCACCTAGGCATGCAGACTGCTTCTACAAACATTTGTGAAAGAATAGGTCGCTCTCAGGAGCTCAGTGAATTCCAGCGTGGTACTGTGATAGGATGCCACCTGTACAACAAGTCCAGTCATGAAATTTCCTCGCTACTAAATATTCCACAGTCAACTGTCAGTGGTATTATAACAAAGTGGAAGCGATTGGAAACAACAGCAACTCAGCCACGAAGTGGTCGGCCACGTAAAATGACAGAGCAGGGTCAGCGGATGCTGAGGCGCATAGTGCGGAGAGGTCGCCAACTTTCTGCAGAGTCAATCGCTACAGACCTCCAAACTTCATGTGGTCTTCAGATCAGCTCAAGAACAGTGCGTAGAGAGCTTCATGGAATCAGTTTCCATGGCCGAGCAGCTGCAATCAAGCCTTACATCACCAAGCACAATGCAAAGCGTCAAATGCAGTGGTGTAAAGCGCCGCTACTGGACTCTAGAGCAGTGGAGACGTGTTCTCTGAAGTGACGAATCACACTTCTCCGTCTGGCAATCCGATGGGCAAGTCTGGGTTTGGCGGTTGCCAGGAGAACGGTACTTGTCTGACTGCACTGTGCCAAGTGTAAATTTTGGTGGAGGGGGATTATGGTGTGGGGTTGTTTTTCAGGAGTTGGGCTCGGCCCCTTAGTTCCAGTGAAAGGAACTCTTAATGCTTCAGCAGACCAAGAGATTTTGGACAATTTCATGCTCCCAACTTTGTGGGAACAGTTTGGGGATGGCCCCTTCCTGTTCCAACATGACTGCGCACCAGTGCAAAAGGAAGGTCCATAAAGACATGGATGAGCGAGTTTGGTGTGGAAGAACTTGACTGGCCTGCCCAGAGTCCTGACCTCAACCTGATAGAACACCTTTGGGATGAATTAGAGCGGAGACTGTGAGCCAGACTGTCTCGTCCAACATCAGTGTCTGACCTCACAAATGCTCTTCTGGAAGAATAGTAAAAAATTCCCATAAACACACTCCTAAACCTTGTGGAAAGCCTTCCCAGAAGAGTTGAAGCTGTTATAGTTGCAAAGGGTGGGCTGACATCATATTAAACCCTGTGGATTAAGAATGGGATGTCACTCAAGTTCATAAGCGTGTGAAGGCAGACAAGCCAATACTTTTGGCAATATAGTGTATGTCTGTCTTTAAGGCACAGTAATATAAGCAGCTTACTTAAAATTAAAGGATAAAGGGAAGTTGGACAATAGTGATTTAGAAATTGATTATGACTGTTTTTGGTACATAAAACCACACAAATATTGTAAGTGGAAAAAAAATTGAATACAAGAAGAATGCAGGTTATGGGCCCTTTTTTTTTAGTTTTTAGTGTGGTATATGGTACATATTGGTACATATGGGCTTTATACAGATGTTGGTTTCCAGGGTTATAGCCAGTGTGTGAAAATACCTCCAGGTATTCGGGGGGTCCCATGTTGGCTCAATAATCCAGTGTTGGCTGGAAGCTCACTCACCATAGCGGCGCTGTTGCTAGCTTCAGGGGCAAAAAAATATTTGGTTTAACAATTCTTCTTCTGGAAATGCTCTTTTGTAGTTTGGTAATGTACTTTTCTACACATTAAGTGAGATCTCACACATCTCCTCTAGTGTCTTTGGTTTCAGAAATGAGTAACAATTCACTTCCACCAAAATCTTGGGAAATTGGGCAAGTTTTCAGATTTACATATATGTTACGGCATATCATAAAGACGTTTAGAGGTATCCAGGGCATAGTTACAATTGCTAGGCTGTGAAGGACCAATTGGGTGAACCAATTTGCTACAGCACCACCCTGAGGCAGACCAGTGCTGCAGCTCTAGTTAGTCAAGAATGCCAGAAGCCAACAGAAGCTTTACTGATTGTGGGTGAAGCAAATAATGACAGCATAATGTCTTTATAAGTTATCATCTACAACCCCAAAAAATTTGGGACGCAGTGAAAAATGTAAATAAAAACAAAATGTAATGATGTGCAAATAATTAAAACCATATATTTATTTAAAAATAGTACAAAGACAACAAATCAAATATTGAAACTGAAAATGTTTATTGTTTTTTTTTTGTTTTTGTTTTTTTATTTTTATATATGCCCATTTTGAATTTGATGCCAACAATACATTCCAAAAAAGTTGGGATGTGGGCGTGTTTACCACTGTTTTTCATCACCTCTTCTTTTAACAGCACTTTGTAGGCGTTTGGGAACTGAGGAGACCGATTGCTGTAGTTTTGATGCTATAATACCTTGGTTACAGCATTGCAGTAGTTTCACAATGTGAATTATGACTGATACAGGCATTTATTCTGCAGGAAAATACATTGAAAATCATGGGGTGATCCATAACATGTGGTTCAACACCACCACCTCTGAGAAGAAGTCATACTACCAGACCCAGTTTGTGAATGATTGGTGGGACAATGGCAGTGTTCCCATCTGGATCACTGCTCAAAGACAGGTATCAACACCTTGCACTTCTGTAGCATTTAGCAGAAAACTATGATTAAGATGATTTATCTGGGGTGGAATATTTAGAAGTATCACTTTTCTAATCAGTTATTTGCAAGAGACTAAAACATTGCTTAGCTGGTTGGTTAACAAACATACTTCTAGTATTGGAGTTTCCTTTGTGGGTTTCGGCTGCATTATTCTGCATTATGATGTCTCTATTTGAAAGATTAGCTTTGAGTTGTTGTTAGCCATCAAAGCTGTAATTTGACAAAAAATCAAATGTACACAATCAAATGTACCCCAACTATTGTCAATCAGCCAAGACGCTGGTGTCTAAAGTTTCCCTTTTAGTTTTGCACTGGAGTTTTGAAGCTAATATAGCTAAGAAGTAAAGCTCATGTACACCAATTAGCATAGTACTAACTGTACGCTTGAATCGTCACAAACCAAAAATAAAGCAGGCTTCAACTTTTCTACTACTGTTTTTAGCTATATGACATACTTTTGACTATTTGTAAAAAACAATAGTATTTCATACAGTGCCACAGCACTGTCAGAAAAACAGGTGGAATTTTCCTTCTGGGTACAAACCTCAAAATTGGACCATAAGGTCTAATTGTGTATCTTAATTTAATATCTTCAATGAATGGTTCTGAAAAATATTCTATTTACCGAATTTTCCACTAACCCCAAATGCAGCTGATTAGCCAAGACATGTTTGGAGTGCAAATATTTCTTCTTTATTTAAGACCTGGAGCTACAAAGCTAACATTGCTAACAGACACTAGCACTCAATAGTCACCGGGTCATAACTCCCCCAAATGGCCCAAAGAGTTTCTGTAAAAATACATCCCCAAAACTTCTCTCAACCTGCTAAAACCACATTCAGGATTTCATTACAGTCAGTGCAGACTAATTTAAATAAACATGTGCAAACAATGCTACATGACATCACTATGCTGTTCTTATACTCAGGGTCTCCGGGCCGGTTCCTTTCACTTCCCTGGCACAGCCTCCACCTATCAGGGAGAGAGTGCCGAAGTGAGCGAGGTGGAGCCGTGGTTCTACAATTATAGCAATGAGACAGCCTGGCGTGAGAATGTGGACAAGGTGATGGGCAGCTGGTTTCGTGAGAAAGACCTAGACTTTGTGTCAATGTACTTTGGTGAACCAGACAGCACGGGTCACAGGTATGGGCCGGACTCTCCAGAGAGAAGAGAGATGGTGAAACAGGTGGACCGAACTGTTGGCTACCTGCGCAACTCAGCCGCACGCAATGGCCTTACAGACCACCTCAACATCATCATCACCGCTGACCATGGTATGACCACGATTTACCGTAACGGGCTGGTGGAGGAAATCATCCTTTCTAAGATTCCAGGGTTCTCTTTCCAAGACCTGGTCTTCCACCTGGTGGATTACGGGCCCACGGGCATGCTCCTGCCCAAAGAAGGGAGGCTGGAGAAGGTGTATAATGCCCTGAAGGGCGCTCATCCACACCTCCATGTCTACATGAAAGAAGAAATGCCCTCCAGGCTGCACTTCGCCAACAATGCCCGCATATTACCCATCATCCTCTGGTCTGACATAGGATATGTCATTAATGGGGTAAGTTCAAAAACAACAGAATTTATTGCGATTTAACTTTGTGGAGAATTGGCATACAGTTGGGTTTACAATTTAGTAGTGGGCAATATACCAGTTCATTCAGTATACTGGTTGATTTCTTTTGAGGATTTGAGTTCATTAGCATTTTACCTAATCATGAAGGTTAAAAGCAATATTGACAGTTGTCTTTGAAAAAAAATAACTTTTTAAAGTATATGATATGTTATATTTACTTCAGTTGTTTAGTAAGGTTCTGGGACATCCCAGAATAATACAAATGTTACCCTGCAAAAATAGGTTTACTTAAAACTAAGTCAGGAGGAAAAACATGCTGAATATTGTGTGTTTTTGACAAATTTTGACAGAGTTCTCTTTGAACGTTCTTTTAAAACACTCGCAATCACTTATGTGAACTTACATGTGTTATGTGACTCTAGTGGGTAGGAATTGATAACACACACACACACACACACACACACACACACACACACACATTTTCTAAGCCGCTTATCCTTCTGGGTCACGGGGGTGCTGGAGCCTATCCCAGCAGTCATTGGGTGGAAGGCACGAAGGAATTGATAAGGCCTGGACAGGAGGAATTGATAACAACTATCTTAAATAAATTCAACCAATAACTGCCCATTAGGCTTCTTTTTATCCCATCTAAATGTAATCTGTAAGAGTTTCATCCTAAAATTATGTATATCCATTTGTACAAATGTTGGACATAACAGGTGTTTTCCTTCCCTAATAAAGGTGGTGTTAATCATAATATAGCAATATAATAGACATTCTTGTGTGTGTTAGGCTCACTCTCAACATATTTCATAAAAAAAGAAAATTCTTGAAAGTAGTCTATAATGTGCTTCGGGAACAAAACCCTGTATAAATTGTGCAAAAAATAAATTATTCTTTATATTTTTGTCCTGCTTCTGTCATTTTTTGACATTAAAGCAAATAAACAGTCAGACTTAAACCCGTGGATACAGAATGTAAATTGAAAGTAAATGTACTTCATTGTGTAACTCACTATGTAAGTGTGTAATTAATTTTAATAGCTTAGTTAATTAATAGTAATAACTATTACATTTTGGGTTGTGTACCATGTCAAATGACATTTCTGTAAAGATCAAGATCTTACAGATTTTTTCCCCTGCTCTTATCTACATGGCTGTCTTTCTCTTTATTTGCTGAAAGTACTTCCCAGTACAGTTCAACAAAGGAGAGCACGGCTTTGACAATGAGAATTTGGACATGAAGCCATTCTTCAGGGCAGTCGGACCAGCCTTCCGTAAGAATCTGGTGGTGGAGCCCTTCGAGACGGTGAACATCTATCCACTGATGTGTCACCTGCTGGGCATTACACCTGAACCCAACGATGGCCACCTGGACGCCACTCGGGCCATGCTGATCTCCTCTGAGCCACCAGAGGGTGAGTTTCCTTCCTGAATCACTCACACTAGAAATGCCATGCTAATATTAAAAGTAATGACTCAAGGAAAACTGAAAATTTCTCAGTTTTTAAAAATAAAAGAGCTTGATGTGATATGTAAACATCAAAGTATCGAAGTATACCACTCTCTAATCCATATAGTAACTAGGTGGAAACTGCAAAAACTGCCAGAAATCAAAGTTTTGAATTCATCATGGTTGTGATGTCATGATTGAAGCAGTAAATCATGAGAGGTTGTGCATTACAGTGATGTTACCATTATTAAGGGGCGCAGTTGATAGGAATCACATGAAGCGGCAAACTACAATAAAATTAAATATACAATTTTAAGTCGGACTGCTGAGGGGGCCAGACAAGAAGATGCCTAATATGTGCATGCACAAGGAGTGTAGCTAGCCCTTAGTCGATAGAGGTAATGTACCTTAACTTAGCCTGGCAACTGCCAGTGATGTCTTGTCAGCTCTTTTTGGGCCAACTGAGCATGTTGAATTGGTATTAGCCAAGAGCGAGTTGCGGGAAACACATAGCATAAGCAACTTTAAGTGCAGAGTAGCAGAGTAGCAGAGTTTTGTCACTAGGAAAGGGCATTTGTTCTTCTAATGTTCAAATTTGTAAATGCAAAGTATTTGAATATTAACAAGAATACTATTTCTTTGTGACTTTTAATCTAAAACGCTGCACAAAGAGTTAATTAAACTAAGTGATGCAGAAGTAAACAGGAAGAGTAGCCCCATTTACTGCTATTTAGGGAGGTTTTAACGAATGGTAGCTAATACTGCATTCCCTGTTTAAACGGTCACTTAATTAGCCTTTTTTCCCACCCAGTGGACAGCTAATGGTTTTTTACTTTCACTTTATCTCACTGGATTGAGCTTATGAGATGGTGAGATGCTTTTTAAATTATGTGACATTGGCTATCTAAGACTGGTACAAATTTGTTTGGAGTTTAGAAATTATGCAGATGTAAAATAATGAGAATTGTGAGATTACTTTTCCCTGGAAGTGATAAATAAAGACACCCCATTACAGTTTGAGAGAAGTAGTAATTTGTCAAACTTGGTTGTAAGAATGCACATAATGCTACAGGCTTCATAATAATAACTCTGAACAAGTGTGGGGTTTCAGGGGTCATGTACTCACAACTGTGCCCCCCCTTACTTTTAAAATGACTGCGTCGCCCTGGCATTGTTTACCAAAAGTTGTAGAGGAGAGACTGTGCAGCCTGGCAGTCAGACAAAATGAGGCTTGTCTAGTCTGGTTTATATAATTACAATAAACAGCAAGGTAGTTTGTTAAAAATGGACTGTGGTTACCAAGAATCAGGGTTTGTTAGTAGCTCATGCATTAATAGAGTTAAATCGATGTGTGCGGTCATATGTGTTTTTATTTATTTATTTATTTATTTATTTTTTAAATGTGACTTAATAGCCAGTCTAGAACTATGTTTTAAAAAAGTCACTTTTTTAAAGGTGATAAACCAAGACTGCATTTTAAGGAAACATTTCAGAGTACCAATGTCCAACTCAGGCTCTATAACACTACTACTGCAGAATAAATGTGTTAACATTTGAATAAAAACTTTTAAAAAAACACATAAAAGGCCATTTTTATTCTGTTGATCCAGGTTTTGGGGAAATTTTATGCTAGATATTTTTGGATTGTTTAAGTGCTGCAACACTGAGGTGTTCACAAAAATGCGTATTGTTTATTGGTATTGCCAGAGATAAGTTTTCGGTCATGAGTGGGCAAATTATTATCAAAGTTAAAAATACATACTTGAGATATTTTGTGCATACACAGTGCAAAACATGGTGAATTGGTGAATAAATATGTTCCCTAGAACTCTTTTGGCTACCAGTATAAGCAGCTACTTTAAAACACACTGCAACCCTTTAGTTACATTCACAAACAACCAGAAACCTCTCATTGACTGTACCATGTGACCGGATTAGTAGAAAATGTGACTCAGACATTCAAAACATTCTTCAGAACTCTTGATTACAGGGTGTAATTTCTGACATTTAGCTTGTATTGAGACATGCACTAGTTCTTACTTTGTAAACAAGTGTTTCAGCATTAGAACAGCAATGAATTAGTTACACACTGTCAGCACAGTGACATCAGTCAGGGGCCAAATACAACACTGTAACTCACTGTTGTCTCTCTCTCACACTCTTCCTCTCTCTCTCTGTGTTGTAGACAAAACTGCTGTAGGTGATGTCCTCAATAGTCTATTCATCGGACTGGCTGCAGTGGCTGGCTTTTTGTTTATCGTGTTCGTTCTTATTGTGACCAGTAGCACCATCAAACGCAGAAGGAAAGAAAAGAGGTATAAAAAGATGTTTCCCTATGTAAAAGGAAGAACAGTGTAACATCAGATACTACAGTCTGTTTGTATATACAGTGCCAGTCATTTCATTCAAATACAGTGGTATGCAGAAGTTTGAACACCCCTGATCCTTTGAATTGCCTTTGTGTATGAAATGTGCTACAGGCATGGGCAAAGGTTGGGGTGCCCCTGCTCAAATGTCATGTGTTGTTGATTTTGATTATAATGAAAATAAGCTTCTACATATCTTATACAGGGAACATACTTCAATAGGGCATTCATTTTACTGTACAATTTCTATTTATTTGCTGATTTTAACATAGAAAAGATAAAACATAAAATATAAAGTGTGCCATAACTTTTGCACAGGCCACATTTTATGTTTCTTTTTTTTTCCCCAATATGTTAAATTTATTAAATAAGCAGTGATTGTCTGTCCTCTGTAGATGATGTGTACCTAGTTTCACTTAGAAAATCTGCAAATCATTTGACTGAGGCACCAAACTTTTGCTTAAGATTGTAGCACATATCATACACAAGAGCAATTCAAAGTGCTTTACATATATAAAATAAAAACAATGCTTATGGGCAACTTGTTCTGTTAAATTACTATTTGTATTCCAATTAACTCAGAGTTAGTTGAGCCTGGTAACCTACTTTTTAAGTTAAAACATCAAATATTTTTTATAGTGTAATATATACATTTTCTCCAAGTAAATCACTATGCACTTTGTGTGTGAGGTGATCTGATCTTTTCTGGCATCGCAGCCCTTATCGATGTGTTAATTGTTGAAACTCATATTGTGATAGCAATAAAAATACAATTTATTGTGTAGCCATATAATGGAAAATTGACTCTCCCTCACTGTTTTAAATAAAACAGTTTGATGTAGTATGTAATTGTACTTTTAACATGTACTCACAGTGTACTCATCACCTCACAGTCCTTACAGTCCACATATAGAAGCTAAACTGTATTTACATGCATCCTCCCATTCAGTCTAGGATCGTTTAGCCCCGCCCATTCACTTTGACGTTATAAGCATTATTTCAGCTTTTTGAATGAGACACAATACAGGACAGTCAATCAGAACAAGGATCATTTACATATCGTTGGTGTCCAATGAAAAACAAGTATCTCCAAAATTTTAACTTTACAGGAGAAGGCAAAAACACTCTTACCTTTCAATATAAGTCAATGCAAAGAGATTTTGTTCCAAGTGATTTTAAAGCATTTCTATTGGTCCAATTTTTACACAATGTAAAGGACAGCTGGTGAGTTGGAATGATGTAGAAAACTAAAATCAACAAAAATGGAGATACATGGTTTCCTTTGGACAGTGACGATATATTAGTTCTAAACTGTCTTGACTGTTTTTGGTACATAAACAAACACATTATAAAGTGACCTCAGAGGGAAACATAAAATACAAGAAAATTGTAGAATTTGCACACTTTAAATATTTTTAAATCTTGTTTCATGTTTTTTTTTGTATTGTTATAAAATGTGTTATATGTGTGTTGTGTTTCTTTGACTGGAAAAGAAAAAAAAGAATTTAGTCAAGATGCATCACTGCAATTGTGTCATTCCTGATACAGTTTTAATTAATTACACTAAAGAAGTGACTTGTTAGGTACATGGTTATAATAAGCTAATCACATATTTGTCATTTCTGTTCTTTTTTTACTGGCAGAGCTAGTGACTGGGAGAAAACCGAAGACTTTCCCACAAAAGAGGCTTCCTTTTAAGACTTTTAGTGGCTTCATGAACTGATGTCAGCATTCAATGGGATTTACAATACTTCTAGACAAGTCATCATCCTAAAATATATTGTAACACAATACAAACATACTGTTTAATGCCCTGCTGTAGCAGAAAAGACACAATAAAAACCAAGTTAAAAAATGATGAGCACTCCAAACCAAATACTAATGCGCATTCATACTGATGTCATTCATACTGGAATATATGCAATATTTCAAAACTGTTCAATTAAAACTATTTGCTATTTTAAGCATGTGTTTGTATGTTTGAATGTATATGATTTGTTGTGCAGTGTGTTTTATGTTTAGTTTTTTTTTTTTTAAATTATATGAGTTTTATTAGCTGGGGTGGGCTGTATAACAATATTTATCATTAAATGATGTCACTTTACATTACGGTAAGCTTTCTCGATTAAAGAACACTGACCAACTGACCACTGATAGTTTTTTTTTGTCTTTTCTAACTAATCAAACCTCAGAAAAATTATGCATATCATATATCCAGGAAATCTTGTGAGGTATAGTGATACATTTTTGCTAAATCACCCCTAAAATGGGCTATTATTATAAAATATATTACACATTGCTAGTTATTATTATTATTATTATTAGTAGTAGTAGTAGTAGTAGTAGTGGTGGTAGTATTACAACTATATAACTACATCTGTATTAATATAATGCAAATACACATATAGAGATGTATGCAAAAACACCCCTATAGAGATGTATGCAAAACACCCCCTGGTCAAATTACATGTTTTCTTGATTTTAGTGCACATTTCTATTTATTTGAGTTTATCATATTGGGATAAAATTAATACAGTCTGAACTATTGCAATGTGCCAACTATTGTTAATGTTATGCTATGCTAATGCTATTGCAAATGCTACGTTTTATGTTTTATTTTTACCCCAATGTTAAGATTCTGCATTAAACTGTGCAGAAGTGTGTTCTCTGTAAAGGATGATGCTTATATTCGAGGTCAACAAAACATATAATTTGACTGGGTGCCCAGTCTTTTATATTTTCATATGTTATATATTTGCCATATCGCCCACTCCTAATATTAGCCACTGTTATACAATTTTATATTACATCTGTCTGATTATTATATTGCTATTATTATTATTCGTACATAAGTACATGTGTATTTAATATAAATATACAACATGTAATAAATAACATTCATGTAATTTGTATTTTAGTGCGTTAACTATCAGCTAAAATATTTGGTCAAAAATAAGCTTCATTTAATCTTTTCTTACTTTATTTTATCAAATTCCCGGGAAAAGTACCCGGATCGAAGCGTGACGACATCATCGCGGACGGTGCCCGCCGAGGTCCACGGCGGTTGTTTTGGCGTTTTTTCTCTCCTCCCCCTTGCTCCTTCCTTTTCTCTTTCACGCAGACGTGCCTGTGTGTGTGTGTGTGTGTGTATGTGCATTTGTGTTAGTCAGTGTGTGTGTGTGTGTAAGTGTGAGAGAGAGAGTGTGTGTGTGAGAGAGAGAGAGAGAGAGAGAGAGAGAGGGGCTGGTGCTGGCAGACATGGAGGAGCTGAGCGCTATGGGAGAGCAGGTTTTTGATGCCGAGTGCATTCTGAACAAAAGACTGCGAAAGGTGAGACTATTTGCCGGTTGCTTTCGTCGCTGTTGCTCGTAAACCGTCTTGTTCCTGTCTCGGTAACCCGGAGCTCGTGTGTTTCTGCAGGGAAAGTTGGAGTATCTGGTGAAGTGGAGGGGATGGTCGGCCAAGTAAGAGCAAAGAAATCACACAATGAACAACGAAGCTGAAGTTGGCTTCTGAGTCGAATCGTCCGCTCCACCTTAAATGGTGCAGCAGTTCCATTCTGGCGCCATAGACCGTTTAGCTAGAGGCAACAGGATGAAACTGCTGAACTGTTTAAGGTGGAACGGACAGTTCGACTGAGAAACCAACTTCAGCCTCGTCAATGAACACAACAACAACAGAGCAGCAGCAGCTTGTTGCTCCAGCAGGACACACTCTCACATAAACACTTACACACACTCACGCGCTGCAAATGTCCGCATAAATATCGCCTGCTGCAGTTCTGAACAGGATTTGGTGTGTCTTTTTTTTTTTACCTCTTTCCCTGTTGCTCCTTTGTCCACGAAGTTTTCGCCCTATTCGAAACGAGCGGTTTGGGGTTGCGGTTGTTTTTATTATGTTATATTTCTTCTCTTGAGAAAAGGAGAGCGTGTATAGTAGGATGTGTGTGTGTGTGTTTTGCAGAACGCGACGCTTTTCTCGTTGTTAACCACGTTGTTTCAGTGATGTCCACACTGCACTGTCCCCCATTGATATACTTATTTTATATTTGTGTTCAGTTAAATGGGCTGACTTTGCATCGTCCACTTGGGGGCTTTTTGAATTCGGACTTTGGGCTTTTCTGTGTGGTTCTTTCCCCCCTTGTTTGGTCGTGTGCCCCCCCGAGACGTCGCGCGCTTCTTTTTGGGCTTTTGGTGAACTCCAGCTGCCCCAGCTCGCCCCTACCCCTCCACATTCACAATCACCCCCCTCCTTTAGTCAATATACATGCACACATGCTCTTTCTTTCTCTCTCTCTCTCTCTCCCTCGCTTTCTCTCTCTCCCTCCCTCCTCAGTTCTCGCTGTAATGGGCTTTATTGGCATGTCTGCTTAAATGCAATATTGCCAAAGCAATTACAGGATGAGAAGCATCTCTCTCTCTCTCTCTCTCTCTCTCTCTCTCTCTCTCTCTATTGTCGCTGTTAATCCCACTCAGTGGGCATTTTATCTGTCAATCACAACCCACTTTTCCCCCCCTTCCATTCCATCTGCTTCCACACGCGCAGGTTGGGGCAGATAATGCAAAAGCCATTGATTATTTTAATCACTTGCTTTTTAACAGTCAGGTCTTGCGTACGGAGTGAATGCAGCAGTTTTAAAAGGGAATACCAATTTCTCAGCATATATAAAGTGCTAACACGTGAACAGAGTCAGTCGGAGTGGTTTAACGTGAAATTCTCTGTTCTAGAGAAACTTACAGAGTCGAGGTGATGACAGGAACCAGACATCTGAACAGCTTAATGCCTCTAAAAGCCCCCCTCGCAGAAAGTTATTACATGAAATGGTTCTAAACACGTTGCCTGAGACTTTGTTTCCTAAATACTTATTTTCTAGACTCTGTTAATGGTGGAGAGGTGCATGCAGGATGGTAACAGCCAAAACTGTCCCCAAAGAAACATGTTTTACCACTATTTTACTATTATCAACATTACATGTAAAAAGTCAGAAGACATATGTAGGTTCACTGGTCATTTTGGATAGTAAATAAAATGGCTATGTTTGTGACCGATTCCTATCACTATTATTGTACCAAACACCTGAGTTATTAAATTTCTCTAGCATGCACCATTTCACATCAGATCACTCTGAATGACTTTTTAAATAGCATCATGTTGATGGGAACATAGGCCTGCCTTTCTGAGTGGATGCTTGGAGTAGTGTAGCAGTGAGTGTAGTTTACTTTCCTATACGCTTATTACTAATTTAATAACTAAATGTAAAGCAGAGGGTGTGGATTCCTCTGCATTCTTTTAGCTTCCTAAACAGCAGGCTTATTTTTCATTTATAAGTCTTTTTTTTCTATGTCAATCAACATTTTTGTGTTTTTATTTTTTAATGCATGTTAAAATGCTGCCTTTCACATTGTGTAAGCCTGCCAAGATTAATAGACTAATAGAAAAGGTTCAGAATTATTTGGAAAGGTTTCTTGCATTAACAAACATTAAAATTAAGGGTGTTCCTTTCCCATTTCTCCTATAAAGTTACATTTTCGGAGTTACACGGTTATTAACAATAGCAACAAACAGTATTCAGTAACAACTATGAAACTAATAATGTAGGTTGTGTAGTTTTGAGATTGAGGAATGTAATCTGGAACCATGCATGGATTCCTGGAGTTTAAAGAGTTAAAGAAGTTTCTGTCTTTCATGCTGGCCCTAAACTCCCACTCCCTGCCCTTAAACTACACAAATCCGTCCATGGCTTGGTTTACTGAACAGCCTGTAATGCTTTACCTGCTGGTTTTGGTGCGGTTGTGGGCGTGTGTTTAGCCAAAGCAGTCCGCATGTAAACATTTTCAGAATTGGTGCTTTGGTACACCAAGTCCACATTTGGAACAGAAGAAAAGATCTGGTTTCAAGCCTTTTCATTCCAGTCGAAACTTCAAAGAAACAGACCATAATGGACTGGATATGTGAAGTCAGAATTATCAGATTTATGCTTGTCTGTGGCCAGTAGTTTCGGATTTTTTTCCCTACCAAACCACACTTACAGAGGCTTATCCAAATTATACTCAAATAACATTCAAGGGAGTGTATGTGAATGTCTCTCCTGTTTTGCATGTGTGCATGGGGTGGAGAAAATGCTAAAGGGCTTCTGGATTTGTGTTTCCAGGCACAATAGCTGGGAGCCACAGGAGAACCTCCTTGACCCAAGACTGCTGGCTGCATTTAACAAGAGGTGAGGGGGTTGGACGAACAGCGAGATGTTCTTCCTCCATGTGCAAACAATATGGACTGCAACGCTTGGCCAGGCGTCAATGGTGCACCATTCTCAGCCATTCAGTACTATGGACATGCATATGGATTTTAGAGTTGCCAAAGGGCTCATTCGAATAAACATTCTTGCTTTGGCACCTGGTAGCTCTGCCATACTTTATGTTGTTTAAGTCGACAACTAATTCCCTCCATAGGATCAGTTTAAATGCGAATGAAAATAACAACAGACTTCCATAGTCAAATACTGTCAGTTTAGCCCTTGCTAAGATGTGTGAAGCGTTAAAGTTTGCTTATAAGGGGAAGTAAAGAGACAGTTAAAAAGAAGAGTAGTTGTTTTGTTTAAAACAAAAAAAGGTGCCTAAAGCTGCAGGGAGGCTGTCTACAGGAAATGTGGAGGCGAGATTGTTAATTCATAAAAACAGGAACTAGATTTCTCAACTTGAGCTGCTGCATTTTACACTTGTTAACAATGGCTCAATGATTTTTGCTCTTTCCTTAGTTTTAAACAAAGCTCAGGTAAAAAAACACAGACACATGGTGATCCATCATTGGGTATTTATAAATCTAATATTACAATAGAATCTTTATAAAAGTTGAAAGTTTTTGATTAAACATGTTACATTGTTGAGAATAACTTTGGTTTTCAACCTACTCAGGAAAGGAAAATATCATCCTTTGAATGAAGTATTGTGTACTGTGCACAAATTGTAGTTTCTAACTCATGCGGTTTTATTGCATGTTCAGGGAGCAGGAACGAGAGCTGTTACTCCAGAAAAGAGGAAAACGACCTCGTGGAAGACCGCGGAAAATTATGGTAAGGTAGTGGAACGATTACCTACGTCTTAAAAATAAAGGTGCCAAAAAGGGTTCTTTGGAATAATGCCATAGTCAAACCATTTTTGGTCTTCCATGGCTTAATCACTTAATAATTTTCCAAGTAGTTAATAAGCTTTATGATCTAGACAAACAAAGGATCATAAGACAGGGTCCAACTCAGTCCAGCACAGTGATTTCTTTGTCCTAACAACTGAATGAACGAAATTATTGAAACTAAATTAATTACCATGTATAGTTACTGGAAGAGAGTAGAGAAATCTCCAAACTGTGCTGAGCTCTGGCCCTCTAGCACCAGAAATTGGAGACCCCTGACATAAGAGATTATACCTACACTATGTGAGATTTGGAGGTCTCTGTTAGAAATGTGTAATGGTACACAACGTCCAGAAGAACATTTTGTAATGTTGGTTACACATCAAAACTATTCCCCAAATGGATGAATCTGATAATGATGATCACGTTGAAAACATAAGAGACCTCTTGGTGAAAAACTTGTCTTCTGAGGGTGTAAGCGGATTTTCTACTCTTGTCATCATATCTTCATCAGTATTATGTTGATTTTTGTATTTACGACGTAAATATAGAGTCGGACCTTCGTTTTGAGCCTGTGCTTGCCATTAATACATAAAGATCTATGATGTGGTTCGAAAAACTCCTGCAATCCTGCAACTCTGTGCATGGACATCATATTTTAGCATGTTTTTTTTTCCTAATTCAGTAAAAAGCTGTTTTAACCAAAACAGTCTTACATAGTGCAGCTTTAAACGATGAAATGTTAGTTGTCTCAGGACTTGTAGTAGATGTTTTTATCAATTAATGTTTTTCTGTTTTGGTACTTTGTCAGGAAACTGTTCCACAAGTCTCAAAATCGAGCAGTTCCTCATCATCATCATCTTCATCTGGCTCCTCCTCTTCTTCATCCTCCTCTTCCTCTTCATCCGAGGATGACGATGATGACGATGACGGCAACAGTGACAGGAAGCCGAAGCTGAGCCCCCGTCCGAGGGAACTGCATCCCGTTCCACAGAAAAAGGCTCAGATTGTAGTGGCCAAACCGGACCCTCCGAAGAAGAAGAGAGGCAGGAAGCCTCTGGCGCCAGAGCTAAAGGCCTTGCGGCAGAGTCAGGCCAAGAGTTCACGAAAACCTATGCCCAAAGACTCTCTGTCTGACTTGCGAGGCAGCATCAAGAAACCCCTCATGCCTGCCAGCTTCACCTACACAGGCATGAATCGAGCTGCCAACAGGGAGCCAATGGCAATGCAGAGCAGAGGATCCTTTAATCACAATGCATCTTCAAAGAGCTCTCTGGGTTCGGTGGGTCCAGGTCGCCCAGTGGGACCGCTTGGACGGCCATCGCAAGGGAAAAGCACTGCAGATTTTAAACTCTCTGACATGGGGAGTGGAGGAGGAGGACTGGATTTAAAAGCGTCAGCATGCAAGTCTCCGGGAGTGGCGTCACTTAGCTTACACAACCCAAAACTTACAACCTGCAATACCAATGGACAGGCAGCAGTGGGAGCTCCTAACTGGACAAAAAAACAGGAATCTCTGGCGCAAAGTCCATTGCAACGACCAGCCAGCAACAAACTTGCAACTGCTTTGTCCTCTGCAAAAAGCTCCAGTAACCAGACCACAAGCCTCCAGCATGCCACCCTGCACAGTGTTAGCAAAATGCCACAAGGTAGTGACACCTCTGCAGTTGATGGCCAAGGCTCTATCCATCGGAACTCTGGAAGCACAGTGAGAAAAGGCCCAACACAAGAGAAGAGCCTTTCGCTGAATCCGACCAGTCAAGCAGCAGGATTGGGAATGGTGGGAACCCGCAATAACAGCATGCCTGTTGGGGTGGAGAGGGTAAAATCGGAGGATTGCAGTGACCCAGCGGAGAGATTTGGGAAACCAAATCAAGGCAGGCCTCAGAAAGGCCTGAACTTCCCACCTACTTTGGACAGAAACGGCTCCAAAGACGGCACCAAGACGGCGAAGACATTGAGCGAAATGAGCACAGGGGAAGAAGGAACCAGTTCTGAGTCTGAGCATGAGTCTTCATTACCCAGCAAAAGGCAGGATCTCTCGACTGGTGTGCAGGCAAGCCAGGACTGGAGGCCCACACGCAGCCTGATAGAACATGTTTTTGTCACCGACGTCACCGCCAACCTAGTCACAGTCACCGTGAAGGAGTCTCCCACCAGCGTTGGCTTCTTCAGTATCCGGAATTACTAATCATTTGTGAACCATTTTGGTGCTTGGAAGACTTCAGAAACGTTTTGTTCTCTACTCGTATCTCCAGGATTTTGTATTGGGAGTTTTCAACTTTTTTTTTTTTTTATTCAAAGAACCATCTCAATTTGCCATTAAAGGGGTAGAGCACACTGATTTAACATTCTCTAACAAACATTGGCATTGCAGTGCATTTGCAGTTGGCTCTATAGTGTTCAGAAACAAGAACTGACAAGCCAAATGAGCTAGCGTAAAGGGAGAACAACATTCTAAAACAAAGTAAATTGGGGACTAGAGTGGGAGACAATCTGGAGACTCCCAACAATCACACACAGAGATAGTGAAGGTATAGGGTTTGTTAGTGCTTGTTAGAGGATGCATCGTCGATGTGCTTTGACTTTAAAATAGGAGACCAAACTTAAGACTGGAAGATATGATACATGGTCGAGAAAATGCTCTTTATGTACGTCTTTAATCAGGTGCTTTGCTAAGTGGTGCTTAGTGAAAGAAGAAACACAGTCTTGTAGATCACATTTTTATACTATGTTACAACCAACGTGTCTTATACTAAGTCAGCGGACATATATGCGAGCCTCATCATGGATATCGGAGCAAACGTGGTTTAATGTTCTCAAACAGTATTGTTTACATGAGCACAAAACTACAGAAGAAGACAATTTTTAAACTTATCCAAAGTTTTTTGTTTGTTATTTTGGCCAGTTTAAGGAGGCCAGTTTTAGATTTGTGAAGCTTTTGCCTTACTAGAACTATAAGCAGCAGTCTCAAGGGCAGTTTAGCATTGTTCTGTTCTGGCTAATATGTGGCCTTCTCTCCGATAGCATTTGATATCTCCATCTTTATTTATTGTTTCTTACTGTGTTGTGATTTTTAGATTTTGTGTAAAAACAGTAAACAATCTTTTTTGTAGGAAAAAAGCTGACAACTCATTTTAAATCAAACTTTCATGAAGCATGGACTTGACACAGTTTATTTTAAATGAGACTTTTTTGAGTTAAGGGTTAGAATGTGAATCTTAAAGGGGAATTCCACCGATTTTTCAGGATCACTGACATGTAAACAAAGTCTTTCAGAGTGGTTTGATGTGAAGTGGTGTATTGCAGAGAAATTTACAGAATCAGCTGTATTTACTTTCTTTGAATGGCCAAAACCTAATTGCAAAACTATCTTTCAATGGTGAAAGTAGAGAAATCACCAAACTGTGCTGAGCTCTGGCCCTCTAGCACCAGAAATTGGAGACCCCTGACATAAGAGATTATACCTACACTATGTGAGATTTGGAGGTCTCTGTTAGAAATGTGTAATTTCAGGCAAAAAGTAAGTATTTGTTACCATTTTACACATGAAAGAGCTTTTAGGCTACGTTCACATTACCAGTTTGAAGTGGCACAAATTCGATTTTTTTGTCCTAATGTGACTCAGATCTGATGTTTTCAGGGCTGTGTGGACATGCAAATCTGATCTTTTCAAATCCAACCTGAGCCACTTTCATATGTTGTCCTAGATCGGATACGTGTCTGATTCGTGGCCATGCAACCTTAATGTGAATGCTCAGATTGGAATTCATGTGCTTTTTTCCACTGTATGTGCTCCATTATTCAGTGTTACTATGGCAGCAGCGCCAAACAGAAGTTAAAGTGGTGTAAAAAAGCAACGCATCTCACCTTTTTTGCCTTTGTCTCGCTCTAATAATGCAGCTGAGAGCTGTTTAGAGTTAATTATCTTCGCAGCCAAGGCTCGTTCTGCTCGTTAGTTTGTTTGCTGATGATGGATGTGACGCACATGATGCATTCACGTTACGTTACTGAGTAGGATGTGCACAAGCGGGTCTTTTCGGGACGCCGGTTTGTTCACGTTAATGACAGATTTTAATCATTTACTTAAATGAGTGTGAATCATCGTGTCAGAGAGATCGGATTTGAGCAAAAAAACGGATTTGAGCAATGAGGCTTGTAATGTGAACGTAGCTTTAGAAGCATGAAACTCTTTAGACCTCTGGTCCCAAACACCACCATTGTTTCTCCAGACTGGTGTATTTCACATCAAACCACTAATGACTTTGTTTACATCTTAACCATTTGATTATGCAGAAAATTTGAAAAATAGGTACAATTCCCCTTTAAAGAAAACTGGCAGCTTCTGTTTCCAAATTCAGTTTGTCTTTAGTCGCTTAACTGAAAGGATTTTAATTTATCTCTGTAGAGGGTTCAGATCTTTCAAATCTCAAGTGCCTTGTTGTCTCAGTGTTTAGCCAGTGAGGTGCTTAACAGAGTCTATTATGGGTTATAGTTCCTCTGCTCTGGTCAGTATATATGTATGAAAGGCAGCAGTGTCTGTGGCAAAGAGGTTCCAGTCTTTGAAAACCTCCAGCCAGTTTTAATTTAAATGTTCTTTGTTTTCAGTAATTATCAAGGTAGATTCAGTTCGGTCCACAATATTGATAGCACCAATAGCTACAGGTAGCTAATTGTCTTTTATTTGTGGTCTGTTTTGTCAAGAAGCCTCTGAGGTTATCTTACAACGGACATGGATCATTTTAAATCTAGATATTCCGGCATGCCTTCAGTAGACACAAATTTGATTACATGGTTGCAACATGTACTTCAAGCAGCCAATTAAACCACATTTTCATCTGTAACAGTCTGTTTGTGTGTGTGTGCATATATATGTGTGTGTCTGTCTGTGTAACCCTGAGAACTGAAACTACCAGTAGTAGCAAAGAGGAGCTTTATTACTGAGTGTGGTTATGCTATCAGCGCCTCTCTTGTCCAACACTAGGGGAAGGGGAGGGTGATAGCTTATCTCATTGGCTCATAGGGGCAGAGATAAGGCAGGGAACGAGCTTAGGTTACTCCTTTGCACGCTCCTGTCTTTCTGTATCAGGGGCTCCTTATATTTCTCATGTGGTGAGGCAAATGGCATGCCAGATAATGGCTGCTTTCTGCTATAGACCACTGGAAGAATCTCTTCTGAAAAGTCTCCAATCATCACCGATGCTGAGTGGGATTCCTTTAGCACAGAATGAATTTAAATGGCCCATATCATGGAAAACTAAGATTTCCTTGGTTTTATTTGTTTTTTAAATAATACTTTAATGTATCGTGTAAACCCTGAAGTTTCAAAACTACCCATTCACTCCCAGTGGATACGGCCCATAAATGAAAACTTAGGTGCCAAACGACCTGCTTTTAATTAATTGTTTTTGTGATGTCACGAAAACCAGCACATGTACATAAATCCTCATATTCAGCTTACAGTTTTTCGTTCCTCTTATTCATACTGAGGTTATGAGCTGTGTTTGAGCCTGAACTGCTTTTTGAGGGAGGCCCAATACAGGGCAGCTAATCAGAACAACAGAGCTCCTTTACATACGTCATACATATATTTTAAAGGCACAGTAACAAAAACAGCCCATTTAAGAGATAAAGAGAGGTCAGAAATGGTCATGTGAAAATTAGTTATAACTGTTTGTACCTAAAACCATATAAAGTGGACTGCAGGGAAAAAAATAGAATACAAGAAAAACACACACTGGAATGTAGGCAATTATCATTCTTTTTATGATATATTTGTTAAAGGTGCCAAAACGGCGTGATTGCGTGTAAGAACCACGTATTCTTTCAAGGGATGGTTCGTAATGACATGTAAACGTGAAGACCCTTTTAAAAGTTTAATAAAGCACACAATAAACCACATATTGTAAAGATTCTAGGCAGGACCCTTGAATTGGTGTAGAACCTTTATATTATATCAGTTTTTCACACTCATAATTCTCTCAAACTTTTTTTAGGGAACCAAAAGTGGTTCTTCTATGGAATTTCCATGGTAGGGAACCCCCCTCTTTTTAAAGGACCCCTGTCCTACATTCCTCTTGCATGTTATTGTTTTTTTCCTGAGGTCCACTTTTGTAGGGGTCTGTGTATCAAAAACAGTCGTAATTCATTTTTACATGATCATCATATATATATATATATATAAGAATCTGCCATAAATATGCCATAAATGTGAAAACATATAAATACAATAATATAATTAGAATAAATACAAATAAAAATAATGAGTAACATTATAAAAAGTAACAAGAATTTATTTCAGTCAAGTTATTGATACCCTGTAAGGTTATTCTCAGGCTATTTAAAACGTAATGATACAAAAAAAATCTTTTTTTTTGTTGTTTTCATCTAATTACTATGTAAGTGGTTCCTCTAATCATATTTGTATATTTAGTGTAGTTACACAACAAAATGTAAAAACAAAAAATTAATCATGAAATAATTTTAAGTAATGAAAAGGCGGTGAGATTTCATGATGTGTTGAATCTTAATCGAATTGAATCATGGGGCGGTCAGAAATTTCATGCCCTCAGTACAAATCGGTTATGAATGTGTCATAAAGGAAAATTAAAGTACTATTAATGCCAGAGTACACTAACCAGACAAACACGTTTTTGATTGTTGAAAGATTAGAACGTTCTCTCTCTATTTACTGTAGAGTCACTTGACTTGTCTCTTCTTTTTATAGACATTTAAGGACAGTTACAGACATTAGAATGCTCACTTTGGTTGTTTAGTGTACTCTGTCCTTGAGGCCTTTGTAAGGATTGTATAAAACCTAGTGGCTCATTGATTGATTGAGAGAAAAGTGACGGTAATTGAATTGCTGTGCGTGCAGTGAAGGTTCAGTGCCAAGCTGCATTGGCTTCATGCCATACGAGTCTTGTTGAAGTTTATTTACGCTTTGTGCAAAGCCGTGTGGGCGCACTTCTCTCCTGCCAGCTGCTTCTCAGCTCTCCTCAGTTTCAGTAAACAAATGGAGGAAGTCAGAAACTGCCATTGTATTTTGGGTAGTAAACATTGGCTTTTTTCCCATCGCAGATGTGGGTCACGTATTAAGCAGGTGCCCCTCAGTATTTATGAGCTTTCACAAGTGGCAGAACTGACCTCACAAGGTTAGATTTCACTGCTATTTGTCACAGGCAGCATTAGCTGACACATTTTAAAGCTGCACTATGAAAGATATTTATGTTCAGATTGAAAAAAGTAGTAGTATTGAGTCAGAAGGGAAAAACACACTAAAATATGGTGTGTGTGTGCGCTGCTATGTTGCCTTGTAAATCCTGAAATAATCATTTAAAAGAGCTGCTTGGGTCTCATTTCGCAGGAGTTTATCGGACCACTGCTATGTCTTTATGTATTAATGTCTTTTTCCCAGGCTTAGAAAGAAGCTTCGTCTCAATGTTTAGGTCTTTAATATAAAATCAATATTTTATTGATGAGGATAGGATTGCATAGTAGATACTTACATCCTCGGAAGACACAGCCTTCACCAAGGTTTGACTTAGTTCTCTTTGAATTCTCTTTCAATGCGCTCACAATCAGATTCATCCCCTTGGGGAAGGGGTCCAATGCACAACCAGTATTTTAAAATGTTCTTCCTCAAGTTGTGTGCAATTACCCAATTGCACCAGATAGGTCTCCAAATCCCCAAAATTTGCATAGCTTTAAAAAGGCAGCATTACCTATTACAACACCAACTCTCCCTCCCCTCTACATACAGACACTCCGTACACTTAAATATTAAATAATATTAAATTACAGTGAACATCGCAATTATTTGGGTAATAGATTATTTCACGCTGTGGTTTTGAAATTAATTTGTGACAAAAAATTGCTGCATTGATGGTGCTGGTTTGATGTTTCCTCTCTTCCAATGAGGCTCAGTTATTTTAAGTTAATAGCACTCCCTTGTGGAGGATCCATGAAATATGAGTAACTTACAAATCCAAATTCACATGCTTTGCTTTCGAAAACAATGGTTTGTTTTCCTTCACTGATATGGAGGTGCTCTGGAATTCAGCTATAAATAACTGTGGAAAACCATTAAGGATTCCTATTTAGTCAATCGAACCATCAGGACACCTAATGCTGAAGTAAAAAAGCTTTGCATTTTGTCAGGCAGTATGTCATTTTCTGGGAAACAGAGACAATGGAAAATGGGAATGGATAGGGGTGGCAAACAGAGGGGGCACCACACTGTGAAATTTGCAAAAAGTCTGTTCTCCCTTGCTAAACTAGGATTTGATATAGATAGCTAGCAGAGTGGACTCCACAGGGCCAAAACAAACAAACAACAACAACACTTTATGGAAAGTTTGTGAAGTTGAAAACAGTTTTTTGTTGGTCAGAAGGAATTAGACACAGTAGCCCGGTTGTCTTTTGTCAATTAGAGAAAGAGAAGAGCGGCCCCCACTGCTGAAGGTGTGGAGCCTGTGTTTTACTCATATAGCACTGAAGCTCAAGGTCGCTTAAGTGGTGCTAAAAGTTCCTGTGAAGTTTCTGTACGGGTTGTATGAGGGTCTCTGAAAGGGTCTGGAGCTGGACGCCCACAGTGTGAACAATAGTTGGCATGTGAAAGGGTGGGGAGAAAGGAAACCCAACAATCAATGGCCAACTATTG